GTTGCTTCATTTATTGTTTTCTTTGTCTATTATGGAGGAGTTCTTGCTAGGTCTTTTTTGAGATTTGATGAAGGGCCACTTGAGATAGCCACACATTCTGAGGGCTTCCTTGATGTGTTTTATTTCTTTTTCTTTTCCTTCTTTGATGGTGGGCAGGCCTTCAGCTCTGTAGTGTAAGGTTCTGATAACTTCCATTTTGTGCTCCAGTGGGTGATGTGAATCAAAATGTAAATATTGATTTCTGTGTGGGGGTTTGTTGTAAATTTCAATATTAAGGCTTCTGTCTTCCTTAATGTATACAGCACAGTCTAGGAAGGCTAGACTATTTTCCTTAACATCTTCATGTGTGAATTTGATGTATCTGTCCACCGAGTTGATATGTTTGGTGAATGCTTCCAATTCCTGTGTTTTGTTCTTGACCCAAGTATTGTCCACATACCTATACCAGTGAGTGAGTGGAATTCCTGTGAAGGAGTTTAGAGCTTTGGTTTCTATCTCTTCCATGTAGAGATTGGCCACAATGGGGGACACAGGTGAGCCCATGGCGCAGCTGTGTTTTTGTCTGTAGAAACCTTCACTCTATTAAAAATAGGTAGTGGTCAGACAGAGGTTCAGCATGGCATATATGTGGTCTGGGCTGAGGTTGGTTCTGTCACCTAGGGTGCTGTCTTGTAGCAAACATTTTTTCGCTACCGTGACAGCTTCACTTGTTGGAATGCAATTGAAGAGGGAAGTCACATCATAGGAAACCATGGTCTTATCCGCGTCCAGTTTTATTTTCCAAATCTTGCTGGTGAAGTCGTGTGAATTATTGATGTGATGAGTGGTGTTACCAACTAGAGGAGCTAGTATGGTAGCTAGATATTTTGCAATGTTGTAGGTGACCAAGTTGTTGCTGCTAACAATTAGTCTGAGTGATGTTCCCTCTTTGTGGATTTTGGGGAGTCCATATACGCATGGCGTGTCTTCCCCAGGGTAAAGACGGTAGTATTGTGGCTGGTTGATGGTATTGTCCTTTAGTAGTTGTTGCAAGAAATTAATGACCTTTTTCTTGTAACTGCTGGTGGGATCTCTCTTCAGAGTCTCGTATGTGTCAGTGTCCTTCAGAAGACTGTTCACCTTGGGATATGATTACAGGTAGTCCTCAATATATGACCGGTTGCTTAAACGGACCCCCTCCCCAAAAAAACCTACCTACAACCCAGATTGGAAATTCTGACATCCAGACCCCATCTGTGGTCCCATAACCACATTTATGATGGTTTGCAGTGACCCATGCTCACGTGACCACAATTTACATTTTTGTTTCTGGTTTCTGGAAAATAACAAGGAGTTTGCTTAATGAATTCAGTTTACTAACAACCATCACAAAAATCTCATAAAATTGGGTGCAATCACATGGTGATCTGCTTTATAATCATCATAACTCACAACCAGAATTGCAAGCTCAATTGTGCTCATAGTCAAAGACTACCTGTATATAATATCTGAGGAAAGAACCATTACTGTTATTAGTAATTTTGTATTCGGCCTTTCCCGCCAAAAAAAAGTCCTCAAAATGGCTAATAACAGAAATGCAATTAGAAAGCAAAGTAAATACAATTTTTAAAAGTGCCAAATTGAAACATGCTTCTAAACATTGCTAAAATGCACAATATGTTCTCTAGGCTTATTCTGATGCCCTTTTGAAATGGCAGTCAACAGCAGCTTCTAGAAATACTAAAGTTGCTCATCTAAAGTGTCTTAATAGCTTGTGACTGTTATATCCACCAAAGATACCCATTTTGTCATTGGAACATGGCCAGTGAAGAGGAAAGTGGTTTTGGGGGGAGAAGAAAGGGGATTGATTTTAAACTTTCCCTGGTTTCTTTCTGCTTGCTTGCTTTATCTGTGTTCAGCATACATTTGGTACAACTTTATCCAATGAAATGGACCTTTTAGATGAGTTTTGAAGAACTGGCTCTTCCCCAGATATTGGGCTAGGCTAGGATATGATGGGGTTCAATTTTTTTGTTGGTACATTGTTTGCTACCTCCTGTTGGTCCTTTCATTTTTTTTATTGTTGTCTGACTTATGTTTTGAATTTGTACATACCCAGAGTCATTTTGAATAGTTGGCCTACAAATGTGACAAATAAATAAACTTCCCTAGAACTGGGTAACCTGGAGCCAAACATTGTTTCTCAGCTGAGGAAGCAGCCAGTGGCAATCTGCATGCCAAGGAAGCTGACAAATCCAGGTTGCCAGGAGTCAAGATTGACTCAAAGGCAGAAAGAAAGAGGAAGGAAGGAAGGAAGGAAGGGAGGGAGGGAGAGAGGGGGGGGGGGGGGGGGGGGGGGGGGGGGGGGAGGGAGGAAGGAAGGAAAATTATTACTGCATAGTATTACTTAAATTCCTCCCCCCTCTAAAATTCAAACATTAAACAGACTCATAGCTTTTCTTTTTTGTTTTTACTATTGCCCAACTGGTGATGAAAACACTATTCACCGGAGCCCTCCTTAGGTAAAGAAACTGGTCTCAGTAATGTAAACACAAGCCGGTCATTTATTTCTTGAGCATATAAAATAGGCTGAGTTCAAGCTCTACAGAAGGTGTAGAAGCAACTTTGGGACACAGAATGTCTTCACTACTGCAGGAGAAACTTTGTGAAGTTCAAATTCAGTCTCCCGCTCCCCAGAAAGATTTTCACTACTTCACCATCACAAAAACTGAGGTAAAATGACATAGATCTTATTATTCTGAAATTAGAACCTTTATTGTATATTTCCCCCCAAAAAGTGAAGATATGAGAAAGCTGCACTTTTTAATCTTTTGTATAGTCAAGTGTCTGTTAACTCAGTTAAGAGACTAAAATCTCAAGTAAAAGAGATAGAAGTTCCAAACAGCTATTCTGACAGATATGCCAGAGTTATATCTATATATATAAATTGTAGTCATGGACTCAAAAACAAATAACAGCATTCTTGTGCCATGCTTCTCTTTTCCTACACAATGTAATTCAAACACAAATGGTTGCAAATGATGTTTTCAATTTCTTGCTTTATGTTTAGATTATTGACAAAAATGGGAAAGGGATAATAACTTACTACACTCTTTTTCAAATTCTCAACACTGTAGGTTATCTGGAGATCATGGCAAATTACTTACCGACCTAATCAAGAAAAGATTTTTCCAAAGGAATTGAAGAAGACACACAGAGATTTTCTATTGGATGAACACTTACATAGCAAGTATTAAGTGGGAAAATAATTGTGTACCTCTTTCTATCTCTCTATACATGCATGCACATACAGTCATACTGCATACAGTCAAGGTTCCACTTTTAAAACCCAAAGCCAGCTTGGCAGAACTTCATTCCTTAAACGAAATTAGAACTCAGATTTCTGATTTCTAGCCTGATGCCTTAGCCATTAGATCAAACTGGTTCTTTGTTATTGTTTGTTAATGTTATTGTTTGCAGCACAGAGGTTTGATTTTTGTTGCACTAGGATTGATGCAGAAGGCAAACCTCCCATATAAATCACTCAAAGAAATTTTACCTTCTGAAAGTACACACAAATGTAAACGGCATTTATCAGCATATCTCATCTCTCCTATAAAGTATAGCATCTGAACTTATAAAGACCTATCTTTTGCATATTCTTGTCACTTCTTATACCACCCTCATTTCTTCTGAAGCTGTTTTATATAATTTGCAAATCTGGGCCTTATGTTTTAGTTTAGTAGTATAAGAAACAGCAAAAAGATTATATAAGATTGGCTCCAACTCTGCTGACCTTTCAAAAATACCTTAAAGAATTGGATGTGCTCCCAGGCATGGGGTTTGGTGGGAGGCATTATTACTTTGTCAGATCTGTTTTTATCTTGGTGACCATTATAAATTTTGGGTCTTGGTTGTTTTTAGTATTTATTTAATTACTAGACGACTCAGGCCCCATTGGATTATGATTTCAGAGATATTTGCTTACCTAAACTGAGAAAGAGAATATGGGAAATTGTCAGGAAGCATCAGAAACTCTTCCTTCTTTCCTTCCTTCCTTCCTTCCTTCCTCTTTTTCTTTCTTTCTTTCTTTCTTTCTTTCTTTCTTTCTTTCTTTCTTTCTTTCTTTCTTTCTTTCTCTTTCTTTCTTTCTTTCTTTCTTTCTCTTTCTTTCTTTTTTCTTTTTCTTTCTTTCTCTTTCCTTCCTTCCTTCCTTCCTTCCTTCTTTCTTTTTCATTCTTTCTTCTTGCTTTCTTTCTTGCTTTCTTTCCTCTCACTGTTCCTTCCTCCCTCCCTGTCATTCCATCATTTCCTTCCTTCCTTCCTTCCTTCCTTCCTTCCTTCCTTCCTTCCTTCCTTCCTTCCTTCCTTCCTTCCTTCCTTCCTTCCTCCCTCCCTCCCTCCCTCCCTCCCTCCCTCCCTCAAATTCCTGCCACCTTCCCATTACTTTCCTTGTGGGAAGCTTGCATGGAGAAAGTCAGAGAGGAAGCCAGCAATAATAATAATGATAACAACAATAACTTTATTGTCACTTTGAAAGTATACCAATAAGCATACATCAAAATGAAATTTCGTTGCATACAGCTCTGAAAGGGTCACCACCTCCAATATACACTCCTTGTTCGTGGCCAGCTCAAGTTTCAGAATGTCCATTTTAATCTCTGGGGAGCGAACGATGGCAAACAGGACAGATGCAAATGGAGCTCCATGTAGATTAGCCCTCAAATTAGCTTGTATTCCTGCACGACAACCTTGCCTCCTTTCCTTTTTCTGATTCTGTTTCATCCATCTTTTCCTTAAAGAGGCCTCACTCCTTTTGCCCCTGGAGCATGCTGCCGCCGCCACCAACTCCTCCAAAAGCCTTTCTCCCATCCTCTGGGCCTGCCAACAGCCTCATACACTTCCTTCACTCCATAAGCCCAGGGACCTCTCCTCCTCTGTCTCCTTCGGAAACAGCCCTGATTTGCAATAGAATCTGTTGCTGGGCCAGCAGTCAGATCTTGCTGCCAGCAGAACAGTTTCAAACAGTGCGAATGACTTTTAACGGTCTCACCAACAGTTCCGAAACAGCTAAAAACTCGCCATACTAGCAAAGATTGTCGGTCGTATGTTAGCTTAGTCCCACTATGTTGCTCAAACACATCAAAACCTCCCCAATCATGTGGCCTATATCCCTTATATCCCTCCAAAAACATTTCACCTTCGAGAGCCAATGCAACCGCAGCTGATCCAGGCGCTGCCATCTTAACCAAGGACAGAAAGAAGGTAAGTGGCTACGTCTGAGTGGGGGAGTGAGTGAGGGAGTGCATAGGGAAGTGCCATGCAGGTTGGGAGAGGTGCACAGGTGTGCACAAAAGATGCCACATGAATTAGGGAAGGCACATGGGTGGGTTACATGAGTTGGTAAGGGTGTATGAGGCGCATGACAGGTGCCATGTAGTTCGGATAGAATGCGTGGGGGCTGCGAAGGTGTGCAGGAGATGCCCTGTGTGTCGGGGAGGGCATATGTGTCAGGGAGCATGCACGGAAGGAGGTAACAGATGTCTGTGAGTGCTTGGGAGTGTGCAAGAGGTGCCACATGAGTCAGAGATGGCATCCATGATGGTGGCATGGGGCAGTAATAGTGAGTGGTAGTGTTCTTTTTTTCCTGTTTCTCCCTCTCTCCTGCCTTCCCTCTCTCCCTCCCTCCCTCAACAGTCAGATAAGAAGCTGCTGCTGGGTGAGGGAGTGAGAAATTGCGAGAGTGGCTGGGAAACTGTCACAGAATGTTGAAAATGATCACATGACCACAGCAGTGGCCCAACAGCATTAAAGCAGCCACAACTCTCCTACGTTTCATCTCTTTGGGCATCACAGGTCCTGGATTTTGGAGACATTTTGTAAGTTAGCCCATTTGAGGTGCCTATGTTCAAAAACTGTTGCCCTCAATGCACTGTTTTGCCCAATTAAAGGAGTTTTAGCAGTATATAGATAGGATGTTTCATCTGTTATTAGCTACCCAAAGTCACTATAGCAAGATGGCCATGATATAAATCTTATTAAATAAATAAAATTTAAAAAAGTAATGACAGAATATATACAGTATATTAGCAAGCCTTATTTCTTCCAAAGAACTACTTGACACTAATGAAGTACAGTGGAAGCAGTTAGTAGGTTTTTTCCCATAGAGTTCATTTAATTTCTTTCTATCTCTTTGTTTCTGTGGGGCACTTATTCATTCCTTATATAGAATCAGCTGTTTGTTCTGCGTATGTACTTAATGACTAGTGCCACACCTGCATGGGGATGGTTGCTATAGAGAAATCTTTTCATCATTGCAAATATCTTAAGTACATATACTGAAGCAAAGTCCTGAATCTTTCATGATAAATATCATAATTATACTTCAGGACAAATTCATTTATATATGGAATTTAAAAAGTACTGCTGTATGTATATCTGTATCGCTTATGTACAAGAAATGCTTTAGTCATAATTATCTAAGGACAAGAAGAAAACTTTCATATGAATTACCCAGGGGCAATCCAGAATTAGCATTCTCTTTCATCAAGATCAAGGCACATTACTTTTTACTTAGTGCTAATATGCTATCTTACTTATATACTGTATTAATGTATCTTGGGTGGCTTTGGTACTATCTGAATTTGGTATTTATATATCTAAATAATATCTGAATAAATAAATAAGTTTTGTTCTGGCAGATTTACACGAATATAATTTCCAGTAACTATTTGTTGTTCTGCAAGCAAACAATTGTATTAAACCATCTGATGGCAAAACTGCCATCAGATGGGTTGAAGCAGCTGACTTGTACAGTACATTGAGAAGCATTGGTTATAATCCATAGAGACATCATTGGGGGCACATGCTCTTCCATAGCATGTTATTGCATAACTTTACCCCATACTATTTCAGAAGGTATATATTATTTCAAAACACATTGAAGTTTTCTCTGGACTTTAAAGCAAGTGGTTCTTAATTTGTGAGGATCTATTTCCAAATACACCTAAGCATACATAAACATATGGCAACTTCTTTAGAACCTGGAAATGCTACTTTTTTTTAGTGTGACAGGAAGATGTGAGTACAGCAGTGTCCTGAAGAGGAATGGAACATTTTAGAGCTCACCAGAAAGTTATTTCCTGAAAGGATGAATTTTGCAAATCTGTACTATGAATATTCTCTCAAAATACTAGGATATAAGGTTATCCGAAAGAATGGAATAGCAGGAGATTCAAGACAAATAAAAGAATTTTTTGCATGGTGGCTAATTAACCTTTGGAATTGCATCACACTAACAAAAATACTAAACAGACATTTATCCAGGATAGGATTGCTATATTGGGCAAGCTGTTGTAGAAGACTTTCAAGTTTTCTTCTAATACAAGTAGTCCTCAATTTACAACAGTGTGTTTAGTTACTATTCAATAGCAATGGCATTTAAGCTTATATACCCCCCTAGAGCTTTACAGCACTTTCTGGGTGTTTTACAATGTAAGCATTATATATTGTCCCTTATTTTACTGCTGTCAGAAGGATGGAAGGCTGAGTCAACCTTGAGCCCATCCAGAAAAGTAAAGCCAATGGGGAAGCCAGATTCACTTAACTGCATTACTAACTTAACTGCAGTGATTCATTTAACAAGAAAGGTCATAAATGGGGCAAAATTCATTTAGCAAATGTCTCACTTAGCAACAGAAATTTTGAGCTCAATTGTGGTCATACGTCCAGGACTACCTCTACTATAATTTTTTTATTCTAGTAAAGGCTACCAATATTGAGTGGCTTTAAAACAAGGCTTTCAGTAGCTGCTACCTATATCCAAACCGTACCTCCAGTATTATGTCTTTCAATATAATAGTGCTTGAAACACAGTAAGAGAGCTCTATTGCGTTCATGCTATAGCCTCCCCTAAATTTGAATAGCCACTCTGGCAGCAGAATACTGCATGAGTCTGATCTAGCAGATCATCTTAAGATCTTCTTAGTATAAGTCATTGAGTACAAATGCTGTTGAAAAGCAAAGTTCACCCGCTGTATATAAATGGCTTCAGTCTTATAGTTTCCAGCAGGTACTTTTCTAGGTTATTAATGGCTTTTCTAATATCTGAAATAAAATTTTCTTATCAAGAGCTATGTCCTTGCTCTACCTTCAAGCCTTCTAGTTCATATCAATCTAAATGAAGCTTGACAATCTGGCATGTTTGTTTTTATTTAATTTTTATATCACCAATATTTTATTCTACACTGGTCTGTGTACAATAAAATGTTGACACAAAAATGCCCTATTGCATAACCATATCCAACGCTAAAACTATCAATAAAAGTATCAGTGATTGACTAGGTGTCAAAAACCTATTTAAAAAGATAGGTCTCCACCTCAGTATCTGCTTGAAATACACTCATGGTATGTATATGTAACTAAATATACTTTAGATTTCTTTGCCATGATAAGTCATAAATTTATTAGAGTATTTATAGTAAAAAGTGACCGTAAGTGTCATCTTTCACACCACTTTTTATCAAGTATTGGTAAAACACAGATAAGACATAGAAAAGGTAGCTTCCGTCTCATTTACTCAGAAGATCAATTGAATGTAAACAAGATTTTATGTAACAATAGAATTCTTCCAAACAATTGTAGTTAATGTAATTTGCCAGCTCTCCAACTTTTTCCTTTCCATTTAAAATTATAATTTTGTTTGTAAGTTACTTTCTCTTTAAAGTGACACACCAAGATTTCATCATGCTAATCATAAAGGACACAGCTGAGACATAAAATAAAACTCATAAAATTCAGCTCTACTATCTAATTCTTTAAAAGCAGTCTTAAATCAAGGATTATACCCTAGTTTCTCCAGAATTCTTGTTCCTTCACAATTAATTCCTTCCCACTAATAGGATTCAATTTATATCACTAATTTCAGGTTGTCTCAAACTCAAATAATAATTCCAATCATTGCTAGCAGAACCCTCTCCATTCAAAAAGAAGCCTCATTGTGTTCCATGAATCTTACTCTTCAGTAAATACAATCAAGTTTTATTGCTGCCTTCCATCTTCTTTTAGTACAGTAAAGGTTTTTCTTTTTTTATTCTTTATGGCATCTTTTTCCAAATTATTTCTCCTCAGATGTAGATATTTAATTGGGAAGGCTAACATATCAAAGTTGAAAAAAACAACGCAGTACAGTTGTAGTCCCATCTAGCAACTATTCTCTACAATTTATGAGGTGATCAGTGTTTTGCAATGACCTTTATTATTAAGAGTATGAATCTGCATTATATTGCTATAAGCATAATATACAACCTTAGTAGTGTTTATTCTTGCAGCACATGTGCTAAAAGCTTTTTCCCTCTACTTACTTCATTCAGAGCAAGTTCAAAGCATTTTGGGGAAAAACATGCTGAAGTACACTCTCAACTTGTGTCAAGGACACTACGATTTCTTAGTTCGAATGCCTGAAAATTTGATTGTTCATATCATGTCATTTCTTAATATGGAGGATATTGAACAGTTGTCAAAAACCTGCAAAAGGTTTCAGCAGGTAACAACTTTCATTGGATTTGCTGTTTTAAATAATTGCCATAATATATAGTCTATAATTTATATGGTGTGATACAGAGGTTATAAGTCAACTAACACACTACTATGTATAAAGAGAAAACACTTAGCTTTGAGACATATGAAAAAATTAAGAATGCAATGGAGATGAGGTATAAAAATCTATTTTGATTAAGATGATAATTTGATTTACTCATAAGTAGAATATAATAAGGATTGTAGATATTTATCTTTCAGCTGTGTAACACGGATGAATTTTGGGAAAGAATAAAAAAATTGCAAGATAAATGTACTCTTGATCTACAGTCAGCCAAATTTCCAGCTTATGAAAAGCAAAGGAATTTACATCAAAGAAAAGGCTATCTGACACAGATGCAGAGAAGGCACACCACATTCTTCTAAAATGTCGAGTTTATATTATATCTTCTTCTTAATAAAGACTACTATTCAGACTGCATAACATTACTGGGCCATAAATGTTTCATAGCATCTGTGGCTTCTGCTTCTTTCTTCTTCGCTCTTCTATTGTATATGCTCCTCAAGATACATCAATTCCTCTTTTCAGATGCTTGTATTATAACTTAGAATTTTTATCCTTTGGCTGTGTTGGCTTGGAATTCTGGGAGATGCAGTTTCATACTCTAAAGAGTGTCAGATTATGATAACCTATTGTGTTTAGTTCCCAGTTAAATGAGAAATGATTTTCCCAGTTAAATAATGATGAGTCTAATTAATTATAATTAATATTTAAAAACATTATGCTCAATTAATAAAGGAGAATATTTGTAGCTCAGGGTTGACATAAGGGGTCCTTGGTGCTCTCCGAGCTTGCTTGTTTTCTTGCAGACATTTCATTACCCAAACTAGGTAACATCATCAGTGCTAGTGATGATGTTATCTAGCTTGGGTAATGAAACATCTGCAAGAAAACAAGCAAGCTCGGAGAGCACCAAGGACCCCTCATTATGATCAATACTTTAAACAGAAACATTATACACTAAAGCAGGACAACTCAACATACAATGGTTGTATCATCTCCCCTGGTTAGAAAGGAGAACAATTATTCAGAAAACAAGAAATTATATAAACTGCCAATTGATATGTTATCAGTCTATAAATTATTTTCCATATACATTTCTACACCAGAAGTTAAAAAAAAAACCAAAATGAGCCAATATTTAGATGACTAGATTTCAGTTTAATCTTCCAATGGCTGAAATTAACAAAAATGTTCTTTATTTACATTGAAACAAATGCTGATAATACAGTAATAAAAAAATCAAAACACAAGGTTAAAAAGTAGTTAACAAAAGGCCTGCATTTCTTATAAACAGAAAGCATATCAACATTATTGGTTTTATGACTTGCCCTTACGACATATTTTTTTTTCACAAAAAATGAGACGATATATCTCATCACAATATATTCTAATAGCATAATGAACAGAGGGAACTTGTGGCAAGTACGGTACATTCTGCTGTATAATCTATTTATAACCCAAAATAGTTCCATCAATGACATGTAAAAATATATTTCATGAAATATTTACATACAAAAAACAGCTAATAAACCCACATATTGAAAAAAGGCAAAAGGATTTTAAAATGTCATTTCATGAAAGGCTAATGTTGCATTAAATATTCAGACTTAAGTCAGCCTTTTTTCAGGTAATAGAATGAAAGATACTGTTCAAAAAAGTTAAAAATAGATTGACACTTACCCAACATTTTATGAAACTGAAAAGAGACTAAATATGATAGGGTAGGCCCATACATCACAACTGTGTTTTCTCTGAAGTCCTATAAAAATGGTCCGAAGCTAATGCTGAGCCTTCCTTTGCCCACATACCCCCCAACGAAAAATATTTTGCTTAAGTTGTTGCTGTTTTCTTGGTGGCTATATGAGGCTGGAAGGCAGGGAAGAAGGTCCTGAAAAAAATAAGTCTTAAACAGCCCTTTTAATCACATGAATGTTGTGCCATTATGTCCTTGAAAACTACCAGAAACTTCATCAACTTCTCTGTAAATGTAGCTTTTAACCATGATCCTATAGCAGATTAACCACTGTCCTACAATAATGATGCAAACACTGCATTTACTATAAACATGTTGATGATTCATATTAAAAGTTGCAGTTGCTGTAATTATTACATATTGGGACAAAACTATTGACAGGACAAAATCTAAGGTACTGTAATTGTCTTTCTCTCGCCCACAGATATACTGCAAATATAGTTAAATTTTGTACAACACTTTTTTGTAAGTACATACAAATCTGGAAGTGTGAAAATGTCTATGGAGACATTTGAAAAGCACCTTTGGGACTGTGAGTGTATAGTTAATGTAATTTGTAGAAGACAGTAAATATGCTTCAGTGAAAATGTCTGGAAATAAATATCTGAAATATTCCTTTTTTTAAGCAGATGTAGCAATTTCTCAAAAAGTTTTATACAAAACACTGCAATTTAAAATATGTTTCGAGTTACTAAAACTTCCAAACTCTACCTTCTAAAATGTAGCATAATTTTCAGCAATATTGCCTCAAAAATCACTTCCCTATGTCTCAAATCAAAATCCCTTTGTATATTTAGGAAAACAACTCCCATTATGCAAAGAGATGCACATGTGAACCTGTAAGAAGTTATTGATGTGTATGAAATTAATCCTAACACAAATACATACAATGACCACATATGTATCTATAGACATTTTGAAATAACATTTTTTTCTTCATATGCTGACAGCATATTAGCCTCATACTTGGAAAAAGAAGAGAATCGCTTTGATTCCAAGGGTGACAAATCCTTTCCGGGTTTTTTTTTTTAAAAAGACCACATTCTTATTTACTTTATGTGATGTTTTATGTGGTCCAGACTCTGTACAGACTTTAAAACTTTTAAAACTTAAAGGAATGAGATTGCCTACTAGAATTTTCTTGGTAATGCCGGCCAAGTTCTAAGAACATTCTCTGTAGGGCACTAAATCTTAAAGCTGAATGTTCTGTCCATTTTATTCTGCATCTTCACTCTTCTCAGAACCACCACCAGCTGAGTTGTCTGCCTCATACCTTCTGTCACAAACTTCTTGAGAAATTGTTTCAGCACAGTCATAGAACCTACTTGTAGGTCCCATATGTGTTCGAATGCGAATTCCTGGTTGGTACAGCTGCATGGCTGGGCGATCCTGTGCAGGAAAAAAAAGAATAAAGAAAGAACATAAAGGTTTTGACAAAACTATTTAATTGCACTGGGGATCTCAATGCAGCCTAAGTGAATGAATATATAAAGAGATCTTTCTGTTATTACTTCATATTTAGTAAGAACTAGTCTCTCTCTCTCTCTCTCTCTCTCTCTCTCTCTCTCTCTCTCTCTCTCTCTCTCTCTCTCTCTCTCTCTCTTCTTCTCTCCACTGAGAGGCAAGTATTCAAGCAAACTAAAAAGATGCTGGAGAAAACAGAGCCTGAGAAAAATTGATTACACAAATAGCACCAAATTAACCCATGGAAATTTTTACACTCTCCACTCATGCTGATTAGAACAATTGCTAGTTAAATTCATACAAATACGGATATAATAATATTCAAACAAAAAAATAGTTTCTGGCATACAGAGTTAATATTTTCAAGATAATCTAACATTGGCCTGTCTAGATAATAAGCATGGAGATTGGGATATAAGAGTGCTACAGAAATGTATCATTTTGTAGCCTTCTGCTCCATGCTGAACAGTCTTCATAATGAAATGGCAGAGAAAAACGACAACTCAGATGTAATCTATAATCAATGGTGTAAGATTAATCCACAATTTAAAACACACTTACTTGTGTTCGGAATGTACTTCTTGGGAATCAGATTTGCTTTTCAAAAAACATGTTTAAAGCAAAGCTTCACATTCCTGATAAATTAACTCATTATAATCAGGTTGCAACTGACATAGGTTGCATAATCCATAATGGATAGTACTGCCGTTGCTGCTACATCATCAGGACAAGGCATTCTTTTTGCTACAGCTGCATATAGCCAAAGAATAAAGTGCCATATCAGAAAATACCGATGTTCTAAAAACAGAAGTATCAACAATAAGGCTCTTACGGAGTAAGTGTTCTTTTAAAACGTTTCAGAAATATAAATCTCTCCCTTTTTTTAAAAAAAGGATAATTTGCCCTGGCACTCATGTAAATTTGCTTTGTGCTCTTGTCTTTGTTATTCACCAGGACCAGTGTTATTAGACTATTGTGCCTAATAGGCTTTTTAGAAATAGCATATTAGAATATAAGGTCAGGATTTTTTTGAAGTGGATTAGGTCCTGATAAGTTCTCATTAAGAGAATAGACACTCAATTGTGTAAAGCAGGTGAATATATTTTTTTATTTTAGGAAGAAAAAAATTCATAAGAAAAAGGTTTTGTAATAATTTTATTTCAAATGGGGCCCGTAAATAAGCAGCAAGGGTTTCTTAACTGCTTTGGTTTATAAAATGTGGATTTTTTTTCATGTTATTTCAACATAGCTGTTAAAAGTTTCATGCTAAGATGTCAAAAGCAAATCATCTGTGCCCCTGATGTAATTTTACTAATGAAAGATTATCCTAAATGAATAAAAGAACCTTATTTCTTATGCGCTCCTTTTTGGATGCCATGTCATCACACTTGTCCTCTTTACCCAGTTTGTCTACTGTGTCCACAGTGAAGCTGTAGTTGTAGTTCACTTTCTTTCCTCGGTCTTGGCTGTACCCTTTCTCCCACTTCGGCTCATCTTCGTTCCGTCTCACATATTTGTCAAATTCATAGTGAGTTCTGTGCTTTCGGCCATCTTCCAACCGATACCTTTGTCTCTCAGGTTCTTTTTCACGAAATCTTCTCTCTGAATCTCTTTGTTCTTTATCACTATCATTTTGTGATCTGTGTTTTAAAGGTGAGTAAACGTGAACAATTAATCAAGTGAACGTAAATTTGGTTATATTATTATTAGTGATGACGCAAAAGGAGAAGTTATTGGCTGGAGATGGCTGGTGCAATAACAAAGACGGCACCACCATCTTTCCGCTCCAAATCTGTGTTGTTTTCTTTTACTTTGTTGTAATCTTTTGTAATTTTAAGCTCTTTTTATGTTTATAATTATTTTTATAGTCATTATCTTTTATTATGTGGGCTGCTCAAGCACACCTTGAACCCCAAGATGAGTGGCATATGAATTTAATAAATAATAATAAAAGGAGGCTTACCTGGGCTTAATTTTATATTTTGCATTCAGTTGAAAAAGAAAATTATAAAAAAAGAAAGGTGTATAATGTAAATACTCATTCCGGAATTTCAGCATTTGGTTAAATCTTTTCTTTGTAATACTTTTTTTTTTATTTTTCTTTCTAATCTTCTGATATTAAAAGCTATGGAACTTACATAGAAAAAGCAAAAGAAATTGTGGTAGTCTAATAGGTAATATACAAAAATTCTGATGATCAAGCAATATTTTTGATAGAGCCATCCTACTTTTTAGTAAACAATGAGCACTTTTTTGAATCAATAAGCCTAATAATGATTCTGGAGAACCCAAATCTTACATTCTAACATCATTTATTCCTAATTAAGATAATGTCCCACTATAAGTTATCAGAGAAAGGGACACTTTACTGAATCAGATAGTAAGGGGACTAAGGAATAGTATATAAAGATAACTGGCAATTTGAAAGGGTAAACTAATTAATCTAGATTTTTTTTAAAAAAAGCAAATCAATAAATAAAATATATCTAAATAATCATATTCTTATAATAGAATGTATAAATATATTTTAAATTGAAGGAGCTAGTTAAACAGTTTTGAGATAGAGAGATGAAAGATAACACACATTGCTACATTTATTTCTTTTTCTTAAGAAGACTGTTTTTACTTAAAAGAGGTTAAGATTTGGCATTTTCATTACAGAATTCTAACAACCAACATTAGATATTTCCTCAATAGTTGTACCTTTATATCAGTGAAAAATGAGTTCTTTCAACATTAATTAAAATATGTACGGAAAATGACATTCTTGGTTATATAAAACTGGATATTTCCTCCATGCTTCCTGTTAGCTTGTCACAATGCCATGTTTGATTACAAATAGGAGAAAATCTACATTCCAGATGCACCAGATAGCTGTAAAGGATTGGAAGTTTCTTCAAAGAAAGCAGCTAAGGACTAGTTTGGACAAACAAAACAGGACATAATATGAAGCGGCAGAAATAATGAACATGCAGCCTCTAAGCTGTATAGATCCACTTATACTTCTATGTGTTAAAGAAGGAGGAAGCGATCGTTTTGCTACCAAGAGCTACATGCATCTATGAGTTGCATATTGGAGCCATATTCTTACAAAAGACATAGCAAGAGTAAACAATGGGCAAGGCTTGGTTTCTCACAAATGCGCAGAGCCTTCTCCACTGTTTATCATACACATACTTATTCTTCTGCCTTATCTGTACTCTTAATTTCCTGGAAAGATTGCTGAAAAACAAACAAACAAAAAACACTTTGCTGTCTCGCTTTCCCAAGATTGCCAAAATAGAATGAATGCTATATTTCTGCAATTCAGTACAGCAGAATAGTTTCTGCTTCATGCCTATGCAAAAATTTGAACGAGAGAGGAAATGTGCTGGAAGAAAAAAAAATCAAGGGACTAAATGCAGATCATGAATTTTAGTGTCTACAAGTCTACAACACCGACTGCTGAATTGAAACCCCAAATCCAGATGGATTTAATTAGAGAAGTGACTGCACCAATTCTGCTTTACTTGAACCAGGAAGCAACTTAAGAAACAGCAAGAGGGGGGGATCCCACCCACCCACACACCACCCACACACCCACACACCACCCACACACCCACACACACATGTACCAACCCAGCTCCCTCCGTCAAAATAGGATGCGTCATTTTCCAGCCTCCCGTCCACACCGCAGCCCAGGAAGCCACGGGATCCCGGCAGGTGTGGGGCTGGACTGGGGAGGGGTCCTCCTGCTCCAATTGGGTCCCCCCCTCTTTTCAGAAACAGCGCCCGAAAGGAAAGGAAGGACGGAACAAGCTTCCCACATGGGGGATCCAGCACTCATTGCCTACCTCTCTTTCCTGGGTGGGGGTCGCCCAGCAGATCCACCGGGCTGGCAAGAGGTCCCTTGAGAGAGCAACTGCCACCACCTCCCCTCCCATCTTCCAGTGGGCTTCAGGGGAAGTGCAGGACTTTGGGGGGCGTTCCTGTTCAAAGCGAGCTGTGTGCCTTCAGGGGTTGGGAGACAAAGTAACACTGACCGTAAATGGGGCAGACCCCTTTCCTGGGGCCACGGCTTGTGAGAGGGTTGGCCTGCTCAGTGGAGGCTCCGGCGGGCCACTCCCAGGGGGGATCGCAGGGATGCCTCGCGTGGCTCCCTGGCCCTGTGGACCTCGGAAGGGAAAGGGACTTCCTGGCTGTGCTTCTCCCAGGGGGCGGGGCGCCTGGGCACAGGGCCAATCAGGAGCCCCATGAGGGGGCAAGTTCACATGAGAGAGAAGGGAAGCGCAAGTGCCTCTCTCTGTCTCTGTCTCTGCAAATGGCGGAGGAGGACTGGGAGCTGCAGGAGAAGGCTGAAAGAGCCGCATGCAGCTCCAGAGCCGCGAGTTGCCGACCCGTGGTCTAGAGGAATGACTCTTGAATGATTATTGGACTGTGAAAGTTTAATTGAGCTGACTCCATAAAGGAGTGACAATGGCTTTTCTTTCTTTCTTTTGTTCTCCTACAGACCTGATGGTTGAAGCATTAAATGCCAAAAAAATTTTAAAAAAATGTTTTCTTTTGTCCATAATGTTTTTCATTGTAATAAGTCTGCAAACTGAAATATAAGTTATCAAATATTCTACAATCACGAAATGAGAATTGTAGCTTTACATTTCTATGATCTAGGCCAGGAAAATAAAAGTTAGCATATCATTGCCACTCACCACACAGCTCCAGCAAAATGATTTACTGTAGGAATTAAATTAATTTATTACTGTGCAATATTAAAAAATTAATTCCACAGGTTTAAAAGAATTAACAAAATCTCAAAGCAATAATCAAAAGTGCCCAATAAAGAAATACTCACTTTTCCTTAAGTTCCTTTAGAGAAACTTCCAGTGGCTTGGATTTTAAACTCCCATGTCCTGGTGATTTCTCCCATTTGTTGTCTTCAATATCACATTTTTCTTTTTCTCTGTGCTTTTCTGTAATCTGTTCATCCCCCTTTTCAGGTTTCTTAAGAAGCTAAGGAATATTTTAATATACATGTAGTTATTATAATATTTATCAAGTAGCTACCAAAGCAGTGAACAATAACTGAAATGAGGGATGGGGGAGAGAACTGAGGGTACTTTTTTATTTGAGTGTTTTTACTGATCTTTTTCACGTGTTTCTTATAAACACATGTAAAACTTTTATCAGTTGCTTTTGGTGAAATGAGTTCTTTGTTATGTTGTCACTATTTAGTATTTTTTGCCAAATAGTCTCCTGGACCCTATGCATACCAGGAAAACAGCTCTAGGTCAGATGTAACTATTAATTCAACTGTTCCTCATTATTCCAATATATATGCCAATTCAATAGATTTCTGGAAACAATGGATTTAAATTGGTTAAATTAAGATTCTTCTGGATCTCCCTGCCAAGCTCATTTAATTCTACAGTTTGTTCACTAGTATTCATTTTATTTACATTAACAATATCTTGAATGCGAGGATAAGTGACTTTTTAAAAGACAATAAAATGTTCCAGTTGCCACTTTTCTACCACTGTCACCTGAAATGGCTCTAATGAAGCATTTGAGATGAAGGAAAAGCAAAGTTGGAAACTTTTTTCCCATGAACTCCCTTAAATTAATTTATCTTAGAATGCAGCTCTGCCTTGAATAATGGGACTCTTCTCCTATAAAACACATTCAGAAGGAGTAGACAGAAGTAGGCAAGAGAGATTGTAAGAATGCACTGAAATAAGGTCATCTTACAAGCTAAACCAGTCCTATGATACTTGCTGTTTCAGGTCTTACTGAATTCTCAACACACCGTTAGGATTTATAGAACATTAACAGTATATTAATGACATAGATAATAACAAATAACATAAATCAAGTATGCTATACAGGACCCTCAAATGAATCAGAGGTGCCAAGTTTCCTATGAATAATTTGTACATCTGGCTGTGTAATGAAGGAAATGATTTCCCCTTCACAATTACCTTGCATATGGAGGAAATAACTTTTAAAGATAAATGTTATTTCTGGCCCTCCATGACAAAACTTACACATCACTTTTTTCTTTGTGAGGGAAATGTTGTATAAATTCATTTATCATTTTAAAAAATGTTTCACAAAAACATGAATCTAATATACTGCAAGCTTAGTATCATTAAAAGCACTGAAAACATACTGAAAAATATATTTTTGTTTTCTGCATTACCTTGATTCTTATTTCTTTTTCAGCAATTTTCTTTTGTTTCTCAGCTTCTTTTCTTTTGCGTCTTTCTTCCTCTCTGCGTTTCCGTTTCTCATCTTCTCTTAGCCGTTTTTTTTCTGATTCTCTTCTCCTTCTTTCTTCCCTTTTCTCTTCTCGAATTCTCTGAAATATTGGAAAAGGTTACCGTTGATTTATATTACTATTACAAAAAACTGAAGTCAATATTTAAGTTATAGTCCAAAATACTAACATACCTGTTTTTCTAATTTTCTATTTTTAATATATTCCAAAAGTGGGGTGGTTCTTCTAGCTAAAACACAAAAAATGTGATGTAGTGTTCCATTCCTAAAATAAGCATGTTTTATAATACTTGTTAACATTTAAGCTTTAACAAGATAATTAATAAGGGGTAATTAATAATATTTCATTTGGTCTGTGGGTTATTAAAGAAACATTTTTCTGTATTGCCATTTCTCATATTGCTAATGAATCTAAAAATCAATAAAGTAAGCCTTACAGTTGCAACATCAATATAGAAGTCTTAATAATAAGTTTTATTTTTTCCAACAAGTACTTTTCCTTGTATTTTCAATAATTTGAGTACAAAGAACATTTATTTCACTTTTGATCTGATGGATGAGATTTTTTATAGCTTATACCTCTTTTATTTATGTTTAAATTATTGAAGTGCATATTTGTGCAAAATGTATGTTTCAAATTTCTGTAACGCCATAGCTACTGATAGCTATTATTAACATTAATAACAGTTAACTGTTGAGTACAATATACAGTAGAAAAAGTTCACTTGTGTATGCTACTTTTTTACTTCAATGGGAAAAATAAGGAAGAACTCTTTGGTAGACTTATAATAATCATATGCAGCCATGGAGAAAACTGGAAATTATTTCTATTTCAGTTCATTATAGTTTTATATATTAATGAGGACAAAGTTCCATTTCAAAGATAAGAGATTACAAAAGGATAGCTATTAATAGTACCTATGTTAATGTCTAAATGACTGCTTTTTAAAGATTTCAGGTTAAAACAATAATTATTATTTTATAACTATTATTTTATAACTCTTTCCTAAAAACTCAATGTGCTACATGTACCTTAACATAAAAAATATTATTAACCAGGTAATTTTTAAATATTATAACCCAGGTAGATTGGGATCACAAGCAGATTTGATCAATGCCAGAACCTGCTTCTGCTTTGTTTGGGCAGGCACTTATCTAAAACACTAGCACAATCTGATGGGTTCCCATTTGCTTCCTGCCTCCATCCTGCCTCCAACAGCTAGTGTTTGCTCATCTCTGCATCTTATTCACAATATTCCCCTTCAGTGAGTGTTAATGTAAAGTTAGAGGGACACATGGCATTGAATTTTCATATTTAGTTCACTATTTGTAAATAAGACTCTCAATAGGACTTTGCTCAAGGCCAATATAGCCACAATGAATGGTCTACATGCATCCTTCAGCATTTGTTGGCTGTACCATTAGAGTGGCGATAAATATCAGACCACAGGTGTAAATAACTTCAGGGTAAGGAACAATTTTAAAAGAGCTGATGACTCAAGGATGATAAAAGGAATCATAGCCATTTTTGTTTTGGGGAATGAAAAATTAATGATCTATAGTAAGGTGAAAGTTCTATACATTTTGCAAAGTACTTCATATCCTCCATGCAATGTACGGAGAAAGCCAGCTTTGAAGCAAGTCATTGCTGAGATTTCAATGATAGCTTGCACACGCAATCCCACAGATTTTGCTCATCTAAAACTCTATTCTGGCTTTGCAAGGAGAATCCATTTAGCTGGCACATCCATAGCTATATTACTGATTCTAGATGAGAATTTGCTCCCACTCTGCCTAACTGTCAGCTTGTTAAAGCAACATGGAGAGAAAAGAACAAAGTTTCCAGTTTTAGGTGCAGAAATTGCACAGCATATGCACCCAAAGCTGGATCTCTATTAAAATATACTCCCACTCTATCTAGACAAATTGGCAACAAGTTCAGATTATTTAATAGTAATTGCTATAAAGAGATCAATCACAATAAAAATAATTACCATAAAATAAAACTGGTACAAGAAGTGAGGTTGGCAATAAAAACAAAAAACCAACCCTCAGATTTGAGGAATTATGCAAATTTAAGTAAGCTCATCTTTCCATTTAAAACTATTTTTAAAAATGTCAATGCTTTATTGTATAGCAACAATAAATATTATTATTTTATCAAGTTGCCAGGTTTATGATCATTTTATTTGATATATAGATTGAAATTTAATTGTTAAAAGTGGTAGATTTATTTCTTGTCCACTCCTAGGCAAAATGAAACCATTCATTTATTTCATAAAAATGGGGGAAGGATGTCAGATAAATTAAATTATCATTTTAAGGGGTCATGGCAAGTAATGTTAGGAAACCTTCATATAATCTAGCTAGCTTTTCCCTAGAAATATGAAAAGTCAAAAAATGCTAAAATTAGTACTGAATGATTAATAATTCCTTGCCTTAGCAATTGAATATATTGCTAAGAAAGTCCAGTTGCCTCCTGAAAAAAGAACCTTTGGGACAACCATACCCAGATGACTGAGAATCTCCATAGAAAATTGAATATATATATATATATATATATATATATAACTCGCAACATCATGTGACGTGTCGCGATGTATCATGACTTTTTTTCCATTGCCGGCAATGGGGTGGGCGCAGTTTTGGCATGACACATCCGGCCCGTGGGCCAGCAGTTTGACACCTCTGGTATAGGTGGTTCCTTGCTCAATAGTAGTAACTGTGAAAGGGATCTCGGTGTCCTAGTGGACAATCACTTAAATATGAGCCAGCAGTGTGCTGCAGCTGCCCCAAAAGCCAACACAGTGCTAGGCTGCATTAACAGAGGGATAGAATCAAGATCACACGAAGTGTTGATACCACTTTACAATGCTTTGGTAAGGCCACACTTGGAATACTGCATCCAGTTTTGGTCACCACTATGTAAAAAAGTTGTTGAGACTAGAAAGAATATAGAGGAGAGCAACAAAGATGATTAGGGGACAGGAGGCTAAAACATATAAGGAACTGACCAAAGAGAGAAGCAACCTAGAACTAAAGAGAAACTTCCTGACAATTAGAACAATTAATCAGTGAAACAACCTGCCTCCAGAAGCGGTGAATGCTCCAACACTGGAAGTTTTTAAGAAGAGATTGGATAGCCATTTGTCTGAAATGGTATAAGGTTTCCTGCCTGAGCAGGGGTTGACTAGACGACCTCCAAGGTTCCTTCCAACTTTTATTATTACTATTATTATTATTACTATTATTATTATTATTACTATTATTATTATTATTACTATTATTATTATTACTACTACTACTACTACTACTATTATTATTATTATTATTATAATAATATTTCTGAATGGTATGTGGACATTATTGTCCAAAGGCAATTTTAATTTTTTTTCCTAACTTATTTTAATTATGGGTTGACTTCATGTTAATATCTTTTTTATGAATCTTAACATTTATACAAAAAAGGAAGATTGCACTGAAATACCACAATGCAATTGTGCTAAGAACAATTCTAGTAATTTATTTTAGGAAAACAATAAATAAAGCATGAAATAACAAAGGTCATTGGAAAATATACTACTTAACTGGTGGCATTTATTCAAATATCAAAAACACAATTACAGTGGCCTCTGAATCCTCAATTCATAAAAATTGTGTGTATTTAAGTGTTTTGCTACTAGATTCATTCAGGATTTAAATACTATTTAATATATTTCCTAGACTAGCCATAAAATATTTATATGGATAGTTTCCCAAATTCATCAACACATTGTCTGTACTTAGTGTAATGTCCTTTAGAAAAGCTGCCGTGAACATAATTTTTTAAATGACTTAAGAGGTTTAATAAGCTAGGTAAAAACATGAACACCTAATCAGAAGAGCTTTTAATTACTGAATGGAAAAAAATCAGCTTAACAAACCAATGAGTTCTCTTGTTTTTGCCTCAATTTCTCCCAGAAGCGTTTCAGGGTTGGCACATATTTTTTCTTCTTCAGCGCAATAACTTTCTAAAAATTTTCTATATTCTGGATCTGTGAAAAATATAGAAAACAAAGTATTGCAAAAGAAGCTTATCTTAAAATACAATAAGTAAGTTGGGAAACTGTTTCTACCATCAACAATAAAGTGTACCATCTTCTATGCTTCCAGATTTTGCATCTTTCTTCTTTAGTTTCTTTTTAGAAATCTTTTGGAATGGTGCAAATTCAACAACAGCAGGATATTCCAAACCTTTAAAAAATCACAAAGGAACAGAATTATAAAGGATACTTAATTTTAAAACTGAAGTTCTTTTGAGAACAAATGTCAGAATCAAAATGGTTTATCCTATTTTTTCTGATCCAAGCTTATTACACATAGCATCAAACCAGAAAAGGAAATCAGTACACAAGAGCAAACTTCCATGAATCCACCAGATTTACAGTAACTGATCACATCAGGATCTCCTTCATATTGCTTGAAAGAAGTTTCCTTCAAGTCATTATTCCAATGAAATCCAGGAAGGTCCTTTTTTTAGCAGCTGAATGGGAATAGTTTGTCATTACCCTTTTCTGAAGTGATTTTTCTATTGTGGAATTTAGATTAGACTTCTGGTAGTCCAGGTAATCTCCTCTCAAAGTACAAAGCAATTGATGCCAATAAATATCTTTATAGCAGTCCACCACAAAGGCACTAACTTTTATGTAAGATATATATGTTCTACTTCACTTGAGCTTACTTTCAGTTATATAGCCAAAGCTTTAAGTATTGGAAAAGAATGTAACAAAAAAACCCAAACACATTTAAATAGAATTTTGCTTTCGAGAATTCAGTGGATGGTCATCAGTGAGATCAACTGTGGATCCACAGATCCAATCTGTGCTTCTATACTTGTACTACAGATATTCCTTGACTTACAATTCATTTAGTAACCGTTTGAAGTTACAACAGCATTGAAAAAAAGTGACTTATGACCATTTTCACACTTATGACTGTTGTAGCATCCCCATGATCATTCGGATTTACATTCAGATGCTTGACAACTGGTTCATATTTATGATGGTTGCAGTGTCCTAGGGTCATGTGATCCCCTTTTACAACCTTCTAACAAACAAAGTCAATGGAAAAGCCAGATTAGTAACAACCTGTTACTAATTTAACAACTGTACTTAACAAATGTGGTAAGAAAAGTCATAAAATGGGGCAAAACGCACAACACATTTCTCACTTAGCAACATAAATTTTGGGCTCTATTGTAGTCGTAAGTTGAGGACTACCTGTACAATCAAACACTCTATGAGGTTTGGAGGCTACATAGATAGGAATTGTCTGGAGCTCTTACTATAGCATTCAAAAACACGAAGTATTAGATTATGATTGAAATTTTTGAGGAAGCACAAACCTCAATGTTTCTTTAGCTCTATGCAACTTTTTATAACTCCAAACATTTTTATAGATCCTTGCCACAGTAATTTTTGAGTTACCTTTATTGTCAATGAAGACATAGCCATCAAAGCGATCTCTAAAAAGAAGGATGTCATCGGGATTTCTAAAATTAATATATGCTCTTGAGTAGAGGTGGGGGAAAAGACTGCAACAAGAGTGAATTTCAGTTACTTGTATATAACTTTTAAAAGGAAAATTATAAAAATATATGTCTCAAAGAAAGCAATCATTATATTTATATATTTAATGAAAAGATAGGCCATCAGAAATGCTATGGCTAATGAATTCTTAATACTCATTAACCTCTGTACAAGTGTGCTATTATTCAACCAACCTAGTTTTTGTGGACTTTACCTTTAAGGTTTGAAAGCCACTATTCCTACTTTGGCTGCAAGTAAATTGAACAAAAAAGCCCTGGAAAACAATGGAGGCAGGTTAGATCAAGTGGCCTTCCATTAAAAGAGAAGAGATTCTGAGCAATAATCAAGTGATGAAAACTAAAACTTCTTTTTGGTACTAGTTTCCAATGAACTCCCCAGTTTCCTAGTAACATCTTATACTAAGGGGTGATTTAACTTTTATTAATAGATTGTAACTGCTTCAGTTTGTACAACATACTAAATCATGACTCATGTGCTAAAGCCATAATGGCAGGTTTTGTACAATATTGTATGCCAAAATAATGAAATCATACTATGGCCTACTACGGTATATCACCCTAGTCTGTGAACACAGGTATATGATAGTGATCATATATGGTATAATAAGCAAACAACTTAAGATTTTATATCTGGACAGAATTTGGTTTTTTTGCCTTTTTGCCTTTTCCCTTTCCTTTTGATGCCTTTTACAATCTTGCATACTTTAATACTCTTATGGTAATATAGAAAAATTATACATTTTGCACTAACAATCATAGTCCTCATGATGACAGAATCAAACAACCAGAATGCTGTAAGCCGAAGATTTGTGCTATTTGATATTATGAAGTTTTCTCTAAACTGGGAATGTTTCAATTGCTTTTTGAGGAACACAACATCACGTCACAGAACAATGTTCCATTAAAAATCCAGATTACAGTAAAAAAATTACATTCCAGTCTCTGAAATGGCTATAAATAGCCTGATAGTCTCATTAGAGGAGGCAGTAGTAATATATGATGTGATTTAGTTTTATTTAGTTGCAACTCTTCACATAAGAAGATGATATATATGGGAACCAGTTTGATCTAGTAGCTAAAGCAACAGCATAGAAATCAAGGGACTGTGAGTTCTAGTGCCACCTTAGCCATGAAAGCCAGCTGGGTGACCTTGGGCCAGTCACTCACCTCATAGGATTGTTGTTGCAGGGAAAATATGTTGGATATGTTTGTTGCCTTGAGTTATTTGTAAAAATAATTAAGGTGGGATTAAAAACAAATACATACGTACATACATGAATAAATAAAATTCTCAGAAGATCCACTCAACCTCACTATATGGTCAAATATTGTCCATTCTTAAACTATTTTAGTTAAATACATTAGAAATACATTTTAATGTTTCAAATATGCCTGAGAGAATATTCCTAACACATCCAAATCCTACATGACTTCTGCTCCCTGCTGTGAATCTCCCCAAATCAATTTGATTGATTTGAGTTCTAGTGCTATGATAATTACAGCAGCACATTCTGTATAGAATGAATGGCATTCAATGGCATTAAATGTGTCATTAGTGAACAGTAATTTTTATACATACTCTGTATTAGAAACATTTTAGATTAAAATGCATCCTATTGATATTAGTGTAACAGACAAACATGAAATAAACAATTGTCTTGCTTTATACAAATACTCACCTGGGATCAGAGGAACAAAATTCAAAATAATCATGAGCCGGAAGTGGATGGAGTTGTTCTTCTAGCTGCTCTTTAGTAAAGTTAGGGGGAAGCCGGCGTATAACTACCTGCAAAACAATACAGGTAAAACCGAGAGCAGACAACCGTTTTACTCGTGCCAGTACCCTCAAAACAAGCTTACTGTTGCTAATCTGCACTTTTGAAAAATACACCTCCCATTAGAAATATTCCTATTTTATATAATATTCTCGAGAAGCACAATGCTGTCCGCGTGTCATTTCGCTACAACTTTGGGCCCCGGTGTTGTCTCTCAGCCTCCCTCATTCCTAACCGGTCTGTCTTGAAGTGAGTGGCACTGCATTAATCTCTCTTGAACGGCCACCTCTTTTCTCATCTTAGCGTCCCGGTGGTACATGAGGCAAAGGACAAGGATGATGATGATGATCATGAGGGCTGTCCTGGTTGCTTCTGTCCTCGTGAGGATTTGAAAGGAGGGTCCTATTTGCTCCAGGCCAGACAAAGCAGACCCGTGTTTCTGGCCAGGAGGGGGCCGGACTCAGGCTAGAGAACCGGAGCCCAAATGCACCTCTCAGCATCGCTCCGTCCTCTCCGCATGTCCCTGGCGCGGTCCCCTGCACTGCCCCCCCCTTCCCCGCTTTGTCCCTCCCGAAGGCCCCTCTTTGTGCTCCAGGTACGGTAGCTCCTCCCACTCTCCCCCCCCCCGCCGCTCTTTCCTCGAGCACGCTGTCCTTGGTGCTGGAGGGCAGCCCTTCCCTTTGCCCGCCGGCGTCTCACTTTGCTCAGCGTCGCTCTTTTCTCTTCCCGTTGTTGCTTGCCCGGCGGCAGCGCCAGGTTGGAGGGCGGCGGCGGGGGCGGCGGGGGCCCAGGGGAGGAGGACGGCGTCTCTGACACACGACGCGGGGATTCTCGCTGAAGTGGCGCCTCCATGGCTCCGGCTGTAGGACAGAAGAGCCTCGCGACCCTTAGCCCGACGGTTACTCCGCCGCTTTTAAAGCTTCAGCCCAGCTTCCTTTCACCCGCTTTCAACCGCCAACCTTTGCCGGGAAACATCGCGAGAGCGGGCCCCGTGCCCAAAGAGGGTCTCGCGAGAGCTAGGGGATCGGGCAAGGGGTTGGGGTTGCTAAGGGATGGCTCTCGTGCAGAAAATCGGCATTTCGGGTGTCCTGCACCGGTCATCTTTCACGGCTGCGAAATTGGCCCAATTAGTTCTAAGCGCCTGATAACCCATCAGGGACTCACCGTTCATGGCACCATCAACATTTCTATTTATGACTATAAATCTTCTCGATTTGTACCCCGTATTTGAAAAATTGAGTCGATGGTGCTTTTTGGTGGTCTCCCTCCCTTCCGCCCCCATCCCTGAGTTTTCAGGATGTATGCACGTTTGATCAGTCTAAAAGAGAATCAAAAAATAATGTAATGCAAACTCACCTGTTCCATCCCATTTTTTTTTCTTGCAACAGCCTATCTGCAGATCTTTTTTCCTTGTTTTTATGAAGAATAGTGGTTAATACAGCAGGAAAACAGTTAAATAGTAGGCTACCCTCTTTGACTATGGCTATAGGACAGTTGAAATTAAATTTCAGAATTATAATGAAATTCTTGTGTTGCCAGAAGTCAGAGCATTTGAATCTGGCTTAGCAGTATTTATATTACAGCTTTCAATGGTACCTTTACTTATGTGAACTGTCCTGAAACAACAAAATGCTTCAATGTGTACTGCTACCCATAACTTCTCAGTTGTTAAGGAATTCATATTTATGAGCCTTGCTGTGTAACTGCAGGGGTAACCATGAACACCTCTTCCTCTTCTATCCCTTCTTTGAAAATTTTAATCAACTGTGTTTGACTTCTGAGTTTTTCTGTGGTTTTGCCCCTTTACTGATACTCAGTACTTACAACCCTACTGCTATCTTTGAACGTAGTAATTGCTTAAATCTTTGCAAAAATATATGACTTATTTAGCCACTAATCTCTCCAGGGTCAGGAAGATAATCAAGAAACCATAAAGTCGAAGAAAGTGACAAATATTAGACGGACAGCACATTTACTATCACAGTAAAAACGATTTGCCTACAATTCAGTGAAAAAAATGAATTCAGTTGATAATTTTTTAACAATTATATGTAGAGATCAAACGAAAAATTTAATTCTGAATTAAAGAATAAAATATAATATCAAAACTACTTTTTTCAGGACATTCTGACACATAATTAAGATGGAAAAAAGCAAAGCAGCAATTTATCAGTTCATGGGTACAGAAACATATATATTGTAATCCAATTTGATTTTTTGTTTGTACATTCACTGTCTAATAGCAGTCCCACGATGCAGTGAAAGTTAAAAATACATTATTTTGAATAAAATTGATATAAACAAAATACTGTCACCATCTTGGACAGTTCTCTGATGGCCACATGGTATACATAGTTATATAAAACAACAAATTCAGAAAGGGATGAATGATAAATTACTTAATGATTCTGCACAGTGATGAATCTGCACCAATATTCTAAGGTCATGTACTATGGTCTGACATGGATGTTTCTAACATCATGTCACTTTCATTCATTTCGATTTCAAAACTTTCATCTAATGGAGGGGGTTCATCTGTGGTTTTTCTTTGATAAGATGCTTCCAATGCCATATTGCTTTCTTCTGTGGTTTGCCTTTCTATATCAAATTCCGATGCACCCCATGCAGGGGAGAAGATGTTCTTCAATGTCTTCATAGTACGCACATCAAAATCATAGCATCTGAGTTTATCCTTAATTGCAGTCCCTAAAAGAAATCGCTTAGGTTAATTTTTCATGTAATTAAGACCTGTTTGACATGTCTTTCACTGTCTGATTATTTTTCTTTGTTGCATGTTGCGGGGTTTGAGAAGTTTATCAGTAGTGAAGGAACCTTGATTTCAACTTGGTACATATTAAAATATGTTTTTCCAAATATAATGTTTATTAAAACTTTAAACAAGAAGGTATAAGATAACACTAACAGACGGCAAGAAAGGAAAAATAAAAGGGAAAGCAAGAAGAAAGCAGTAAGTGCAAGAAAAGGAGAAAAGGTAAAGAAAAATAGAAAAGAAAAAAGTACCAAGAAGTGACTTATGATATTCTTCACAACAATTATAATATAATATATATAAAAATATATTTTTATCTTCATTTTATTATTATTATTATTAAGCCTGGTCAATTATTCACTATGCTAAATAACTACATATCATACATGTTTCTTTGAGGTAACCACCACAGCCAGTGTGGGAAGACACGAACAAATATAAGGAGCAGTACTAAAATAACAACTTACCAATGTAGGCTTCGGAATCCCCAATATACATTTCTATGCAATGTCCAAGCATAGTAACTGAAAATGTATCATCCCTCCTAAGACCAAGGGCCTGTTTCAAAAGGACAAACAAATAAACCTAGCTTTTCAAGTATCTCTAACAGATTAAAATTTTCTAAACGATTGTCCTTTGTAGCCAAAATAGTATCAATAACATACAAGGGAGAGATATCAGCATATTAGGAAGAATTATTCACATGATTTGCCACAGACCAGGGTCTTTTAGAAATATCCGATAGTGAGAATTCATTCCTCCCACCAAACAACTCAGGTGAACTAAGCAGCATGTTGAATACAAACAGAAAGTTAATATAATGTTAATGGAGGAAGGGAAACAAGTAAGGGAGTGGTGACAATCCTGAACATTTTGATATCCTATGCTTTGAAGTTGTGATTCTTTAATGCACATTTTTGTTTGTACAAATAAATATATACTGAATAAAATACACACATACTGTATGAAAATAATCAATTGCACTTTCAAAGTTTCCCATCAGACTGTGTATGTATCCAATTGCAGAATACGTGGAAGCATTTTGAGGGATCAAGACCAGAGCTTGACGATGGTATTCAAGAGCTTCTTCATATTTCCTTTTAAAATAAAGATAAATAATGCATTTGACAAATTACTACAATATAATATATAATTAGAAGGATCCTGTAATATTTCTGTCTTAAATATATATTCTGCATTCCTCCAAGAACTCAAGACAGAATACAAAGAATTCCAACTTCTACATTTTTTTCCACCCACAATAAAAAGCTAGCTGTATGGCTGTGAGTTTTTATGGGTGAGGAATACAGAAATATTACTCAGAGTTACTTGATAGTGAGCTAGATGGCATATAAATTTGATAGATAATGGATATCCAATCATAAGTGTGCACACCCTTTTATAAGTAGGGATGTCGCTATATTCAGAATTAACCAATCACATTCAAACTGATGTTAAATAGTAGTCAGTACATTCTTGCAATCGATTAAAGTGACTCTGATCAAGTCCATATAAAGTTCAGCTGTTCTAGTAGGATTTTTCTGAGATTTACTCAGTTGCCTCTTGCAGCAAAAGGCATGGTTTACAAAAAGCTTAGAAAGCATCAAAGGGATCTCATTGTTGGAAGGTATCAGCCAGGAGAAGGGTACAAAACTGTTTCCAGGGCATTGGATAAACCATGAAACACAGTGAAGACAGTAATCAAGTGGAGAAAATAAGGCACAACAAGGACAGTATCAAGTACTGGATGTCTGTCCAAAAATGATGAAACAAGAAGAAAACTGGTTCAAGAAGTTGCCAAGAGACCTACAGCAATATTATAAAGAAGCTGTAGGAATTTCTGACAAATACTGATTGTGTACTACATGTGACAACAATCTCCCATATTCTTCATATCTGGACTGTGAAGTAGGATTGCAAGACGGAAGCCTTTTCTTACAAAGAAAATTATCCAAGCCCAGTTACATCTTGTAAAAATCTACATCAGGTCTAACAAAAGCATGTGAGAAAATGTTATGGTTTGAATCTTTTGGCAATAATTCCAAAAGATATCTTGGAAACATAAACAACAGTGAGCATCACCAAAAATACACCATACCCACAGTGAAGCATGGTGATGGCAACATTATGCTTTGGGGCTGCTTTTCTTCAGATAGAACTGTGGCTTTAGTCAAGGTGGAGGGAATTATGAACAATTCTGGAACAAAACTTCAGGTCTCTGCTAAAATGCTGAAGATGAAGAGGAATTTCACCTTTCAACATGACAATGGCCCAAAACATACCTCCAAATCAACAAAAAATGGCTTCACTAGAAGATCAAATTTTTGGAATGACCTAGCCAGAGCCCAGTCCTGAATCCAATTGAAAATCTGTAGGGTGACCTGAAAAGGGCTGTGCACAGACGATTCCCTTACAATCAGACAGATGTGGAGGTCTTTTGCAAGGAAGAGTGGGCAAAGATTCCCAAGACAAGATGTGTCATGCTGATAGGCTCCTACCCCAAAAGACTGAATGTTGTCATAAAATCAAAATGTACTTCAACAAAGTATTAGTTTAAGGGTAGGCACACTTATGCAACTATGTTATTGTAAGTTTCTTTATTGTTATTTCTCCCCCCCCCAAAAAAAAGATTTGACTTTGTTTTTCAACTGTATTGTACAACTTATGTTATACTAAAGGTGGAAAAAATTCTGAAGTGATATATCATGGACTGATTATTTTAAATCTCAAAAACTGGCATTTTAATAGGAGTGTGTAGACTTTTTATATCCACTGTAGATAGGTAGGTAGGTAGGTAGGTAGGAAGGTAGATCTATCTATCTCCCTAGTCTAGTCCAACAGGAAACAAATAACTAAAATAACAAAAAATAAATAAACAACACTTCGCCATTATACCACACCAACTCTTATAATACAAAAATACTTTGCCTTCACCTTCTGAGATGTTTTTTCCAGTCTATCTATACAGTGCTAAGATTTTTATAAATTATAGAACTGGGACTAACATAAAATAAACTTAAAATAATAACTACTGGTTAAAAAGTTTTTCCCCTTTCAATCTCCATATTTACATACTTACTTC